ACGCACCCCATCGGCAGCGACAAGACTGTACATCCTTCACAGCTTCTTAAAATTTGTAGGCAGTGAGGTAAGTGGCGTTGAATGTTGAGTCTGAGGGATCCGCACTCGAATGCTGGAGGGGAATCATCTTGGACAACCTGTTCATTCCCCGTCAGCTGTCCTGCCACTTCGTCCCCGGTACAGGGAAAGAACTGGTTGTACTATCATTGCTTCCTCAGTTCCGGTTTACAAGTCTCACTCTGGCGAAACCTGTGAACTCTTGTGAAGCTGGAGCAAGGTCGTCAAGCCATCATGTTAAAACCTGTCAACTCGAGAAGAGGCTGTCTAGATAGGTCGACACGTCGATGGGAAGTAGCAAAGTGCAAAATGCCCCCCCCCCCGTCGCGAACTGCGTGCGCCTTCCCCTCGTTATCTTCTCAGTAATATCCCGACACCTCACTTCCGCTTGCAATGGTGTGGGGTTAATTCATGCAGCATATTGATTTCTTGCCCTAATTACCCTCAGCTAAAGCGATATATCTGCGCTGAGATATCTGTTCCGTTGAGCATGAGCGATCACCACGAACCAATCCATCTTTCATGAAAGTCGCACTCTTTGGACTTAGGTGCTGCAGCCAGAACCAGCCAGAACTCGTTTACTCGATGTGATACTGCTTTGAGGGTCAATGAGAACCTTAGTGTACCAAGTAGAAATACCTTGATTGTCTGAAGTAAGTCTCGATGAATCTCACAGTCTTTTTCGCTGTGGGTGATGGGGCGTGTCAGACGGGATAAGTAGGCGCGCCGCCAGCTCGTTTCCCACCGGTTGTTGAAGCAGTAAGCGATGGTGGAAAATGACTGGTACGAACGATATACAGTCTTATCGCTTGCTCGTTTCTCCAACTAGTGGGTTTGGCGAAGCGCTCAAGGCCGCATCGCCGACCTGTGCCCATGCTCCTATATGTACCAGTGTGGCGTGCTTATGCTGCTGGGGTGTCCAGTTTCTGAAAGGTCACTGTAGTGAGAAAGGACAGAGTGGTTGTGTTCGATAGAAACTGCCGGAGGGTTTGTGGGCTCAACAAAGGGGTTGGGGGTCAATGAAGATTCTAACCTGATTTGTCCTGACCTATGTCCGTCCAGTTCATTTCACTTTCTTTCCACATTTCTCTATGAAACCTGGCGAGAACGAACTTGCCTCTAAAGCCTATTAAGTCATGATCCCTGCAAACAGTAGGGCGTGTGAGTGGGCGTGGATTGGAGTGCTGCCATGGCGGCCTGTTCCACTAAATATGTAACCCTGGGTCCACAAGAATTGGCGAGGAGAGCTATTTTGCGCTGGCGCTTCGCACAACACGTTTCTGTGAAGTGCCAGACTGTGTGACCTAATAATAGGGACAGTCAGGCGCAGTTTGGCTTGGTGGGGCTTTTGCTGATTCCCATCGGTCATGCTCGGTCGTCTCCTATAGAGACCCTGAACTACGAAAAGGTAGGCATTAACATGAAGCTTCCTTTACCTTGATCAAGACCCCCTACCCCCAGGCCCTCCCAGTCTCTAGGTGCACTCACGCCTGCTCCACGCCCTCACACACAAAAGTACATAAAAAAGTGGCGCACACCCCCTAGACAAAGTGCGCCCACCATCCCCTCCCCAATCGAACAGCGCCAACAACCATTGATAAGCTCCATCGATAAACATCTGTTTTCAGGCAATTTTCCTCTGCATACGTCAAGGTTGAACATATGTCGTCAGACCAAGCAAAAATCGAATTTCTCACGGTTATATCGAAGAAGGATTCTTTTGGATCGGCCTTCTTCCCGGTAAGTCCGAGAGTTAGCACGCAGGATCCGGAAATGAGTTGCTCTCAAAAAACTCTCTGCTACATCCCTTCATGCACTGTCGTCCATCTTGTACACTTTACGCCCAGAAAATGCCCCCCTATTGCTTTGGTCGCTCACTATCCATCATTTCTTACTGTAACTAACAAAAGCGGTCGGTGTGGCAAACCCCGACAGTTGCAGTAGCCTGAGGCTTCTGCCGGCCATCTTCTTTTGCCCGCGGTGATGCGGCGGCCCGCCCGCTGAGCCTTTGCTTGATCGTGAGGTACATGCGCCTTCTTCGCTGACGCGTCTACCTCTTCTAGGACGCTAAAGGAGACATGCGCACAAGTGAGGAAGCAGTAATCGTATGCGCGCCCGACGCAAATTATTCCCATTGAGACCAGAACTCTCAACCCCCTCGATCAGCCGAAGGGACGTCATAGGTCACGAATTCAGCGTTCTTCAATTACATAAGAGAACTGCGCTATTTTAAAGGCAGTGGCACGATATCCCTAAGACGAGTAGGATCAATACGCCTGGCAGGACGGAATTCCGCGCCCCTGAGCAGGCGCTGCGTAGCGCCTTTTCCAAGGAAGGTACCCTTATAAGCCCTATCAAGCTGCAACATACCGACCCGGACGCCCACCGCGCCCGCCCGCCCACAAATGGACGACCGTTCCTGACGCTCGTATTCATTCATTTGCTAAGCAAATTATGAAGCGAAGGGATTGGTATGAAGGGATGAAGCGGCTGCTATGCTCCATGGATATCTAAGTACATACATGCGGCCCTATCGGCCGTAGCGGATGGCGCGATTCCTACGGGAAACTCGTCCAAAATTGCTTCATGGGTCATGAAGAACGAAGGCTTCTCTCGCAGGTTTTTGACCGTTTCACTTCGTTTTTTTCGCCATTTCCCCACTATATAGCACCGTGCTAGCGTTTAAGACCAAGTACTAAAGAATCGTGCCCACTGTCTTCAAGAAGACTGAGGCATAGCGGTGATGCACCGAACTCGAACACCGTCGCAGGATTTTCCCTCAGCTACTTTTTTGAGGCCAAGAGACCATCAAGTGTTGTTGACTGTGTTGTCTTCGGTACCCTGATTTCTTTCAATTTCAAGGAGTTCTTTCCAGGTCTCCCAGTATTCCGACCTTAATCTGCCTGACAAATTGTTAATAGCTATCAATCAAAAAGGAGTGCATCTTTACAACAGCGAAACGAAAACGTTAATCACTCAGGTATGTAGCATTACTATTTAGCTCTCAAAGGTGCATTCGTTAGTGAGTTGGTGATTCATAGGCCAGATAGGTGCTCCCAGCGAAACCCGGCCTGGGTTCTCACCAGAATCCAGTGAAAAAAAACCCACGGAAAGCCTCATGCTGAATCCATTGTTCCGCGCATAATTGGAATTTCGCTGAATTGTCCACTAGATAACCAAAAATTCATATTTCTAAGGGCCTCAACAACTGGCTTACGGGTCAGAAAATAGGGCACGCTGTGCTTTGAACGTCTCAAGGCGCGTCAGCGCGAACTCTGAATGTCTTACCTTTCTCGCTAACTATACACAGTCCCAGTCCCTTTCGTGATTGTATTACCAGTTTCATTTTAGTATCCATTCAATGTCATTTGCAACTGGACAAGTGGCAACACCTACTTCAACATGACAGTTGGAAATGGAATAAGGGGCAATGAGGGGAAGAAGCTACTCCTCGACACTACTATGGTAAGGCTACACTAGACCTTGGGAC